CACACTGGCACCTCCTCACCATAAGAAGCTATAAAACCAAGCTCCAGTGACACTTTTTCCACCTCTCCAGACAGTCTTACGTAACGTCATAAAAGGCGGCCATCTTGAAGGGAGGGGGGGACCATACTATGTGTTCATCTGTAGGGCGTTGTGTTTCCCTACTCATGGTGCAAGCGTGGTGTCTGTCTGTCTGTCTGTGTAAATTGTCGAGTGCTTGGCTGTGTGTGTGTGTGTGTGTGTGTGTGTGTGTGTGTAATCCATAAGGTCACGTGTCTGGTACTCTAAGCCAATCAAAACACCGGAACACGAGACAACAAGAGCTAGAACCTAACCTAACCAAGCTGCTAGGTGGTGAGTGCGCCCCTCCCAGCACCTCACCAATATAATATACATCTAACTCACATAAATGAACTCTGGTTGTTTTTATTATTATTATTATTATTATTACTGTTGTTGGTGATCGTTGTTGTTGTTGTTATTGTTGTTATTGTCACTACCATTACTATTACCATCCAAATTACATCCTTATAACACACACACACCACCACACACACACACACACACACACACCCACACACACACACACACACCCACACACACACACACACACCCATACACACACACACACACACACACACACACAAGGAGTAGCGTACATTACACTTGAGCGCTAAGATGTCATAACACATTTCATTGACAGATCTGAGTGACTTAACAGGTAGTGTGTGTGTGTCAGAGTGTCGCAGTGTGAGCAGTGTTGTGTGTCAGAATGTCGCAGTGTGAGCAGTGTTGTGTGTCAGAGTGTCCCAGTGTGAGCAGTGTTGTGTGTCAGAGTGTCGCAGTGTGAGCAGTGTTGTGTGTCAGAGTGTCACAGTGTGAGCAGTGTTGTGTGTCAGAGTGTCGCAGTGTGAGCAGTGTTGTGTGTGCAGAGTGTCGCAGTGTGAGCAGTGTTGTGTCAGAGGAGTGTGTGCAGTGTGAGCAGTGTTGTGTGTCAGAGTGTCGCAGTGTGAGCAGTGTTGTGTGTCAGAGTGTCGCAGTGTGAGCAGTGTTGTTGTCAGGTCGCAGTGTGAGCAGTGTTTGTGTCAGGTGTCGCAGTGAGCAGTGTTGTGTGTCAGAATATGTAAGTTATGAAAAGTTGTGTTAATGTCAAGTAATTTGGATAATGATAATGATGATAATAATAATAATAATATTAACATAATGATAATATTATGTATAATAATAATAATAATAATATATGTGAGATAATAATAATAATTTATAATAATAATAATGTGTGTAATATGTAGTAGTAATGTGTGTGTGTGTGTGTGTGTGTGTGTGTGTGTGTGTGTGTGTGTGTGTGTGTGTGTGTGTGTGCTTAACAATATGTGTGTGTATATGTATGTAAAATGTACATTTCTGAGTAATATTTAGATGAAGAACTCATTACTAAATAAGACAAATGTAAACGCTTATTAGACCGGCCAGACAATTAAAATAAAGGCTGTGGTTTGTTGCTTTATAGTCAGGCAGAACTGTGGCTCATTGTTTCCAACAAGTTGAAAGAGCTTCATGTTGAGAACTTACCTGTTTGAAAGCCTCTTTCTTCTCAACTCATTTCTTTCTGCTAATTCCTTTCTAAGCTTGTTAATTTCTTGTATTTGTTTTTTAATTTTACCTTATTATTTTGTTTTCTCTTTAATTTTCTACTTATTTTTTGCAATATTAAATAGGCCATTTCCAGTGTGTGTGTGTGTGTGTGTGTGTGTGTGTGTGTGTGTATGTTTATTTTATCATGTGTTTGTTGAAATATTTCTGCCTTGGCTGAAACATGTACAATGGTGTATTTTACACACAGTGAGTGGTTTGCTGGCTTTTGTTACTGAAACATAGTTGAACATACAAGTGTGGTTTTGCAGTTGATATGGTGTGAAACACCAGGTGGTGAGGTGTTCGCGTGGTAAGAATGGTGTTGTGTGTGTGTGTGTGGCATGTTGTTGTTATTTACTTATACCCCATCTTTAC